AGCATCTCCGTTATTCTTGCCATTTTCAACACCAAACCACAACTCGTCAATGAGTCCAACTGTCTGCTTCTGTCCTTGTGTATTCACCTATCCTTTAACCTCATGTTACCCCTTCGCTATCACAATTTCTTACTTGCTTCTTTAAAACTAGTTGAGATATGCCCGCTAGTTCCCTCATCACTTACCCAATGTGCTGGGAATATTGATCCGAGTCTGCCCTTTTACAAATTTTTCTCATCGAGGTCCTATCAGAGTCCTCTTGCCTTGTAGGATCCGTTTCTTATCTCTCTATATTAATTGATTTCACTCGATCACTCCCACCATATCCGTGCTACTTGAGGCGTTGTGCTCTTACTCTGCCTGAAGCACGTATACTCCAGCCTGACTGAGAAGGCCCCCAAAGTCTGGATTGTCAAGCTGGATGAAAAACCAACTTGACGCTGCAAATTTCTTTATCTCTTTTCAGAATGTGCACCAGGTAAGCCTTCGTTCAGTTTCCTGTTCATTAAATTTCTTATACTCACGATATCGATGGCCTCTCACATCCTCCATTTTCTTGTATTTCCGCTATTTTGCCAACCTTTCGGTCGATTTCGTGTCCTGTTCGTGCAATTTCCTCCGCTTATTCGGATACTTCTGTATCCACGATCAAGTTAATTCAATAAACCAAGGATTTAGGTGATGGATCCTACGTGGTAATAGGGGGACTCTTATACGGTTAGGATAAAGAGGATTGCTGGCTAAAAGTGCAGACTGGGATCATCACTTCCAGCACTGTAGAGGGAGGGTGGAAGTGAGACAATGAGGAGTTTGGATATGTCTCGATAAATCCACTCAAAAGGGCATACATTAACTGGGTTCGAATAAGTAGTTAGGAAATTAGGGTAGTGAAGTTTTTGGTATGGATATATAGGGTAGGTGAATGCACCTGGACAGGAGAGATACCCCACTTTCCTTGCAGATAGTTAATTAAAGGATCGACTTTACTTGTTTTTTTGACTAATTGTCTCTTTGGCAACTTGGTCGGAACGTCAGCCAGATTTCATACAGCCAAAAAGTGACTTCAATCGAAGGTATGAAGACCAAGATGGTGTGGCCTTTTGTGTGGTCGCAGTCTCCTTTCGTTGTTTGACCTTATTTTCGCAACATGGTCATATTGGTAGGAAGACTTATTGGAGCGCACCTAGTCCGGGGTCCATTGTCTGCATGATCATTCCCAAACGTTTAGCCGGCATCGTCAGTGAGTATCGCCATCCTAAGCACCATACAGCAACTCGTAAAAATTGTAATAGTGAAGGCATGATAGGATGCTACCGGAAACGCGAATAACCCAGGACATAAGGGGAGATACCATAATTGTTTAGCATACGTTTGGTCAAAGGATCGGCTTCACTTGTCTCTTTGAC